ACTTTCACTTTGGCACTTTGGCATCGTCGCTTCATTCATTCTTCCCATTTCCTTGAATTCAAAACGAATTCACCAATTGGTCGGAATGGGTGTGATGACCGTCGCTCTATTCATCACGGTTCTCCTTCTTTTTCAACAAATTTCTTCGTTAAAGTTGGTCAGAAAGGGATTTTCGATGATCTTAGATTTCAGCAGTAGAGACGAGGGTTCGTCGTCCATTGATACCGTCCATCCCATCAATTTGAGGTCTTGTCAAAGAAATTTGTGGGTTTTTTTGGAGACAATGAACAAGAAATAGGTTTGCGTGTCCCAATGACAAGACTTTTCAGGAGTAAAACCCAACAAGAACTCGTCGAGGCTCGAGGAAAAATGTGCGAAATCGGTGGCAGAGTGCCACCGGATGGCCAGCGAACCTTCAAGAATAGTACCATCGAGTACAGCCGTCAACTGCCCGAGAATCCTGGATATCGTTATGTGAGGTTTGTTTAAATGTTGGAAAGCTTTAGCCTATCTACTCAATCTAGTCGTCTATCGGGCTCCGGACATCGTGACGATCGCACTGAGGGTTTCGGATTCAAAGCGGATGGTCGTCCTGTTGTGATGCCTGTCAAGTTCGAGCACATCTATCGACATTCGGATTTGGGGACACGGGGACAAGCACCGCTTCAGTGAGCGCTTTAATTCTTCTGACCTGCGAGCAAATCTCACTATCGCTCGCTTTGCCCGCTGGCTGGCGCGGAGACCCGTAAAAGTTTGTAGCTTTTGATCTATGCCGTTATTCTATTTAATTTGGAGTAACAGGGACTCCTTTGATCGAAAAGAGATTTTTGTTAAACTCAAAGCGATCAGAGCATCTCTTTGGCCGGACCTCTTCACTCGCTACTCGTGCCTCAGAGATTTTGGATTTGGACAAAGAAATCCGCTTAGCTACACGTAATTTTTCGCAAACGTCGCGGAGAACATCACGAGGCAAATGAATGGGGAATTTCGAAGGAAATCCAGATACAAATTTTGAAGAGCAGAAACAAATGAAGTTGGCAAAAGGCATAAGAGTTCCAACACTCAACTACCGAGCTGATTAGTTTCCAAAATGAGCCGAAAATCGAGCTCGAAAGAACACAGAAATGTTATCAATCCCACGGAAATTCAGCGCCAGATTGAAGAAATCAATTCGAAAGGAAATGCGTTCTCAGTCCACGCATGTTAAGACGAAATTCAATAATAAGAGGTGTTTTTTGGGTTTTTTCGATCGGGTTAATCGATCTAGATCCCTCAAATATTAATAGGTGACAAAGCAGGAATTCATCTTTATTTGCTTCCTGACACGCTTCACCCAATGAAATTCTCTCGGTTTTATCTGCTGCTGCCTTTGCTTCTCCATCTTCAGTTGGCTGATGGAGGGGTATGGGGTGAAATATTGGTTCTATCTGTAAGCGGATCTCGGCTTTGGCTTATTGCCCTGGCCCCTGACCCCCGATTCCGATGATGATTAATCCACTTACTCCCCTCACTTCTCGCTATAGCTAAAAACTGAGAAGAGAACGTAGTAACAGACACAGAGTCATTATCGAAGGATACTAAATGTTAGTTTCCTTATGAAACGGAGAATATTTTTTGAGGGAACATTTTAACTCACACAGCAAATTTCGAAACGACCCTCCCTTCTATCCTTCCTATTTCCGCAGCCCAATTGCAGAATCTCTTCAAACATACTTCTTCTGAGCATGTCCCCACCTCTCGAAACCTTATCTTTTCTCGGAACCTCTCCCTCTTCCTCATCGCAATCAACCTCTTCCCCTCCTTAAATTCACATTTACAATCATTTCCGACGCACCATTCAATATTTTAAGAGTCATATCGTTCACCAGGCCAACATCTGTCGCATTCGTAACAATGGAATTTTTACGGACTCTTCTACTGGTTTGGATCAAATGAATCCTGTAACTAAAACCGAATTCCAGACTCTCTGTCTACTGACCTTCTGCCATCTCGTTGAGGGATTATGGTAAACCCAGAATTGTATAAATTGGGATGACAATAAGAGATTTTTCCGTGGCGGTGGCCGGATCAGTGTGCCCCGAGCTAGGGTGAATCGTCCGGCCCTAGTTCCAAGACTCGAAAGAAAACTCAGGTGTTCTTTTGTTCTAAATGTAAAGAAAAAGAGGTTAGTACTAAGGTACCTTAGTACTAACCTTCCTTTGTAGGGAAAAGTGTGATTTTTTTCTGACCCGACTCCCATTTTTGAGCCCGGATTCGGATTCTACGTGGAATTTTAGCCTAGAAAAAGTGTTTTGTATTATGATTCTGTGTTTTTACTTACCCTCTAAGTCGAAAATCCTCGAATGGGGGTTGGGTAAGAAAGTTTTTTGAAGAAAGTCACCTCGACTTCAAAAAAGCGCCTTCTGGCACCTGGAGACTCTTTCGGATGGTTTAATTACCCAAGTTTCCAGGAGCTTCGCGTTTACGTACACACAGAATTTCCAGTACAAAATTTCCAGTACACGTCAAGGTACAAACAGAATTTCCAAAAAAATTGAGTTTTTTTCGATAAAACGCAGATATTTTCTTTATTTTTCATCATTTTTTTCAATTTTTTTTTTCCAATCTTTTTTGGAATCTTATAAGTTTGAGTTCTGGACAGTACCTTTTGACACCAAAACCATGAAAATCGGCGATTGCCCCGATTCGGGGACACCCCGAGTGGTCATCTTGGGGGGAGGTCTTATGCGCTATTTCAAACTTGCTCTCTATTTATCTGATAATTTAATTAAAAACGCATTTTGACTCTTTTTCTAGAATCACAGCTCTTCAAATGAATTTTTATAATGAAATAGTCCACCAAATTTGTTTTAGTTTTCTCTAAATAGCTTTTATTAAGTTTGGGCTTCTGATCTATCAATAATTTAGATTAGAGTTTTGTCAAAGATAATCCTTTTTTATAAGTTTGTTCGACATTCGTCTTCGTCGATCTTCCTGTAAAAGTCATTAAAACAAAGCGAACGGTTCCAGAAATATTGAAAAGCTTTTCTTGACAACTTTTAATAGAGAAAAGCAGTCAAATGACAGATCTGCCAGTGAGATGTTGATTAGCGCTAGCGCTCGACGAAAAACGAGCAAATGTTCATCGCTTGTACGATTTGCTTGCCATTTCTGATTCTTGTGACTCACAAGAATGAGAGTCATCGCATATTTTGCTATGGTAAGTGGAAACAGCAATTTCATCAATCGGAACTCTTTTCAGACGTCAGCAATTTTCTTTGCCGTTGGCATCGTGATCATCTTGCAGTATACCGTTCGACAACCGAATCAATTCGACCAACTGCCGGCAAGTAGCGACTTTACCGGAACGGCGACAATGATTGGAATATTGATGTACGCGTTTGAAGGACAAACTATGGTTGGTCCGGAAAATTTGCTATGATTGGATGATTTAAGCGACCGGTTTACAGGATGATCCAAAATTATCGCAACAAATTTCAGAAAACTATTCTTTTCCAAAAAACTTTCTACAAAAAGTAGCATGTATTATATACTATTTGAATTGAGAGCTTTTTTGCAGAGAAAACAAAAATGAGAGGTAGGAGACCAGACCGTCCATTTCCCATCGAGGCCCCAAAGCTGAAATAGGTTTATTTCTGATGGAAATCCTTCCATTAAGCACTTTGCGTTATTTTAGAAAAAAGAGTTTCCTCAGATTGCTTCAAATACTTTTGGATTAATTATGCATTCGAAATTGGAATAAGTATACATGTTTTCACCATGAAAATCTCACCAAAGCGTGGATTCCCGAATCCGGAATCCTATTGGTGAAATCCACCGAACTTCCATCCGTCCATTCAAAAGCATATATCCTTTGTTCGGATTTCTCTGAATAAAGAAATTTTCATTTTTCGACATTGATCTTTCGATCCGATTTTCCTTTCTTATTATTGAAATGATTCTAGTTTCCGAATCGAAACCATTATATCTATTAAAGAACTATCAGTCAAACGAATCTTTTTTTACAAAGTGCGTTCCAAAGTGGCTGAAAAAAATGAAAGAAATAAGTTTAATATATTCATTTATGTCTTTCCATAAGAAAAATTCAACCCTCACTCCGATCCAGAACCAAGCATTTGAATAAAGAGTGTTCGCTGAAATAAATATTGTTTTTGGTTTATAAAGCAGAAATTCCTACGAAAATCATGAATTTTCAGAATTGAATTATTTCGATTTCTTACCGAGTTTCTGAACAAAATTGTTCTCTTCCTGACTGTGAATTGAGACTAAATGACTCTTTCGAGTCGCACAATATGCCTCGGCTTCATCAAATGACATTCCTTGATCGAAAGCCTTGAGATGAAGATAATCCTGGTTCACAACAGCCACCAAACCTTGTACCAAGAAGCGGTTTTTTCCAAATACAACCAGCCATCATAGGAAAAAGGAAAAAAATTCAACCTTCAGTCCAATCCAGAACGTTTCCTTCGAACGAATAGCTCTCGCTGAAATAAATATTGATTATTTTTTGTTTATAAAGCATAAATTTCTACGAAAATCATGAATTTTCAGAATTGAATCATTTCGATTTCCTACCGAGTTTCCAAACAAAATGGTTCTCTTCCTGACTGTGAGTTGAGACTAAATGGCAGTAGATATACCTTATATCACGCAAAAAGTATAAATCGAATTTTTGCGAACTTCATGAACAAAATTCAAAGACAAATCGACGAGTTGAGGGACGAGAAGAGCGACCTTCACGAAGAATTGTCAGTTTCCTCATGCTGATGTCCATTGATGTTCAACACGTTTATCTAATAGTCTATTCAGGAGCGACGAGAGAGCAAAATACTTGCAGCTTCAAGCGAATTCTGGGTTTTTGGGAGAACTTTTTAAATGAGATTTTGAACAAACAATTCTGAAATAAAGAAACAGATAATGTGCAGTTGTTTGTTTTCAGAAGATTGAATAAAATGGGATTTATTGGTTTTTGTACACAGAAAAGAATAAAGAATTTATCAGAATTGAGAGCGAATTTTGCAGATAAGACCCAACTGGGTAGGAGCATAGACCCGCCATTTCCCATTGTCGCTCGAAAGCTGAAATCAGTTCATTTCCGATCGAAATCTTTTGATATAACACTTTGCCTTATTTGATAAAAAGAAATCTCCTAAGATTGAATCAAATTGTGCATTGGAAACTGGAATATGAGCAAGAGGGAGAGGTCCCGAGAAGAGAGAAGATTTCAGAAGATGGGGATATACTCAGAAGTATGCTTGAAGATCTTCTGCAATTGGGCTGCGGAAACAGGAAGGATAGAATCGAGGATTTCACGTTGAAAATCTCACATAAGTGTGGGTGTACGAACTCGGGTGTCCAACCCCCCAATTCGTGAAATCCACCGAACTTCCATCCATCCATTCAAAAGCATTTTCTTTGTTCGGATTTCTCTGAATAAAGAAATTTTCATGTTTAGATATTGATATTTCGATCCGATTTTCTTTTTTTCTTCTTGAAATTCTTCTAGTTACCCAATTGAAACCATGATTTCAATCAAAGAACTACTAGCCAAACGAATTATTTTTTTCACACAGAGCCTTCCGGAAATGGCTGAAAGAATCATTAGTTTTTATATATTGATTTATGTCTTTCAATAAGAAAAATTCAACCTTCAGTCCGATCCAGAACCCATGAAAGGGTTGAACATTTTTCGCTGAAATAAATATCGTTTGTTCTTGGTTTATAAAACATAAATTTCTACGAAAAGCATGAATTTTCAGAATTGAATCATTTCGATTTCTTACCGAGTTTCCAAACAAAATCGTTCTCTTCTTGACTGTGAATTGTGACCAAATGGCCCTTTCGACTCGCACAATACGTCACGGCGTCATCAAATGTCATCCATTTTTCGATAACCTTGAGATAAAGATAATCCTGGTTCACAACATCCACGAAACCTTGTACCAAGAAGCGGTTTTTGCCAAATACGACCATTCATCCGGTTCCAGGATCCAATTCATCGTTCGATTTCTGAATTTCTTCGAAAAATTCACTTCAGACTTTTAAAACGAATACTAAATCCTTTTCCTTAAAAAACGCATGAATCTGCCCGCGACTTCACCATTTCGACCGTTTTGTTTTCCCTTTCAAATTGTCTAGAGAGAGATTGATTGGATTGAGTGGAATGGGTGTTTTGCGAATGAAAAAAAACCGTTTTCTCGAATTTCAGTCTACAGGAGATAGTTAAATTCAAATATTGTTGAACTCACATATCAGCCTCCAACTGCGTGATTTTCCCCATTCAATTCGCCTCAATTTGGGTCATTTTTGGAATGGTGTTCTAGGGGCCAAAAAAAACTGCTTTCATAAGTCTCAGGCGGCAAGAGATACCAAATGAACTCACATTTGGGTTTCGAGGTCAGAGATTTTGCTTTGCAACGCGTTGATTTGCCCTTCGAGCTCTACAATCTTGGCTCTACCGTCTTTCACTTCCGTATTTTGAGTTTTTCTGAAAAAAGCTCGCATTTTAACCATATATTGAGCTTGTCAAAAAAGAAAGTTACAAAATTAGTACAATTGTGCTTCGAGATCGTCGTTCTTCCTTTTCATCTCGGCGACTTTCCTTTCCAATTCTCGATTACTCTCCCTTCCATCAACCAAATCAGCGTCCCACTTTGCGTTCTTCTTTTTCGTTTCGGCGATTTTCCCCATTAAATCCGTCTCAATTTGAGCCATTTTCGTGTAGATGGCCCTTGACGTTTCGGTGACTTTGGAATCTCTAGAAGTGTCTCATCCTCAGATATTTCTTTAAAGGATCTCAAGACTCACATCTCGGCTTTCAGATCAGCACGAATCTTCGTCGATCGATCATCTATTTGCGAGATTTTCGAGTTTGTGAATTCATCACTTCTTTCCTTTTGTTCACATTCACTGAAAAAGATGAGCTTAAATTCTTCAAGATTTGTTGATTTCACCCACATTTCCCTCTCGAGTCCGCAGATTTTTCCTCGGGCCTCGACGAGTTCTTGTTGGGTTTCATTCCTGAAAAGTCTTGTGATTGAGATGCTCAAGCCTATTTTTTGTTTGTTCTATCAAATTTGCTCTATTGATTTGAAATCCATTGATCTTTATTGATTTGATCAAATTTCTTTGACAAGATCCCAAGCGGACGGTATCCGGACAATCCTTTTTACTGCTGAAATCTAAGATCATTGAAAAATCCCCTTTCTGATCAACTTCAAAGCACGACGATCACGAGACATAGTCTCTTCTGGATCATTGGGAGATCCGAATGGTTGAAAATATAGCTATTTGAAGGGAAAAGAATACGTGGATGGATCCACTTGATTGCTTTGTTGAATTGACGAAGAAATTTGATGGAAAAGGAGGAGAATCGTGATGAATAGACCGAAGGCCATCATACCCATTCTGCTGAATTGGTTGATTAGTTTTGAATTCGGGGAAATGGGAAGACCGAATGGAGGGACGATCCGATAAACAATTGTTTTTTTACGGAAAAGAGCTTTTGAGAGCTCTGAAATTGTTTAGGAAAGCGATTGACTCATTAACCGTTGAAGGAATCGCTTCGGATAGAACTTCGTGCAAAAAAAAGTAGCATTTCGGGAAAAAGAAAGCCGTCAGTTCGTGTGAAGTTGGTGAGTGAGAAAACGCGGAGTTATCAGGAGACTACTTTCGGGAAGGTCAACTGAACCGACCGTTCCCATCAAATCGCCACAATTGTTTCTCAAAGCTATCTATCTCCCCCAGGCGTAAACAATTTATCCTAGAGCCTTTTTGACTTCTCTAACTCCAAAATTCATGGCTGTTCGAGGTGTGATCATTGTCGATTGTTGTTTTGGTTGTTCTATGTTTTTTAAGTTGTTTAGTGTTAAAGCAGAACAAAAAGCATAACTGAACAAAGCTTCTCTAAAACGGGGACTGCTCAAGGCATTAAAATCTATAAAGAGAAAAAAGACGATCAGCTACCAGACTCGAACCTGAGAGCCCCCGCTTTGCCTTTTGGAACCAGCATCATGATCAGGAAATTTATCGAGGGCACTGAGACTGAGAAGCAATGAGTGAGAAATTTGGAGAGATTTTGAACTTGGGTGATGTTGATTCGGATAATGAGTAGTTTTCTCATATCAAATTGTTCAACTCGAACTCGAGACAAAGAAAGAAGATCACAAAAACCTTGCGACACCGAGGCATCAGGATGATGAGGTTGGTTGTAGAGTTTCTGGAATCTTCCTTTTCCTCCTCGATGTCCTCAGAGCATCTCTTCTTTTTCCAAATCTCCAGAAATGCCCGAAAGGACTGAGGAATTGCCTGAAAAGAGTGTCAAACGCATAGAAGCACCGGCCATCTTGTTCAAGAAAATCGCCCAGCTCGAAGCCGATTTGTGGGTTTTTCACCAAATCTTTGCTTCTACCAAAAAAAGTTTTTCATTTAATTTTGAATTTTCTCGAAGAACAAGTGAAAATTAAAGGAAAAGGCTACTAAATAAGCAGAATTGATGAGAAAATCAAACAATAAATTTGTTGACAGGCAAAATACGGATTTCTTACCAACTAAAGAGAAAGGAGGGAAATGCCCGAGTCGTTTAGTCATCATTCGTCAACCAAAAACAATCAATCTTCATTTCAGCGAAAACTGGAAACGAAAACTGCTACAAAACAACAATGATTTGGGGCAAGAAATAAAATGAGAACACCCGGGTTCCCTCCATAATTTACCAAGATTCAGACTACCAGGATTTAAGAACTTTTATTAGTGGCTCTTCCCTGCAGTATTGCCTTTTTCCGTCATTCTCGAAATAGCAGACTCTTTGTGAAAAGTAATTCGTTTGACTGATAGTTCTTTGATAGAATGCAAAGTCGATTTTCGTTGATCTGTATTATAAAGGTTTTTATTTTTTCATTTTCTGCCATGATGGCTCAAAAACTCAACGTATGGGCGTCATGAAATCAGGAGAAAGTGACAAAATTTGAAAAATCTATTCGCCTAAAATATTCACTTTGGCACCACAACAACCGCCACTAGAAATTCTGAGAAAAATCGCGCTGAACTTTTTTGGAACACCCTGTATATATTAATTTTATTCATGTGTATTTTTCCAGGCTGCCGCGATTGATGCGACATTTGAGAGCTTGAAACTTTCATCTTTGCTGCCAACCCATCAGGAGAAATTGGACTTGGATAGATGCACGAGCCTGCTTTCTGCTTTCGATAAATTTACCGGCTTGGTGTGCTACTTTGTGTATTCTAAATTTTTACTTTGCAGGCTTCACGTGAAAAAGCAACGATTTTGTGCCACATTCCCTTTCTAAAGACACTACGCTTGCAGTTTACCAGGTATTCTTTTGAATTTAATCGCTGGTTAATTCTTTGAGTAGTTCTGAAGTTGATGATTCGGATCGTGTGAAATCTTTTATTGAAGCAGTACACGAGCAAATTTCACTGCGCCTTTAAGTAAGTGTAGCTTTTTTACGGACTTCAACGCTTGTTCGGTATGCACCAAGCATTCGTTTACTTCGCGTGGCTCAAATTTTTGGCCCGCGCCTCCTCCAGTTAATGATGCACCTGGGACTTTTGACAGAGCTTGAAATTAAAGGACTAAAAATCGATCTCGAAACATTCATTTCCGGTAGAAGTGGAATATAATTTTAAATAATTTATACTTTTTAGTGCTGTATCCTTCATCTTTCGTGAGTCGACCCTCGTTTTCACCGCCCTGTTCGCCACAAGATCCAGTTACTCTTATACTCAAAGGCGTCTCTTCTTGTCTCCACGGATCTCTTCACAAGTATCTCATACTCCTCAGTCATTATTGCTGGTTGGTATTATCGGGGTCATTACTGTTGGTCCAATAGATTATTTTTATTTTCTTAACTTAGGCTGATTTAACTGAATATCTAAAATTTTGTGCTTCCACGGAAATGGAAACGAGTTTTGAAGACGATCCGGATTTCGCATACAAGTTTTGGAACATGCATGCAGAATTTCACGAACTCAAGAAGTAAGCTTGTTTTAGCTTTCGTTTGTTTTAGCTTACTATAAAAGTTTAGAATCGCACATTTTTTGATGAGTGTCCACCCAACATCGGCCTCGGTGGAGCATCTATTTTCAAAAGCCGGAGCTCTTTATGGCGACTCGCGCAGATCTCGATTATCCACAGCTAAGGCTGAAATGTTTCTGGTGATCGGTTTGGAAGCGCTTCAAAAAGAAAAGTAGAGCATCATAAACTTAAACTTTTGTTCACCATCTAATAACTATAAGAATGTGATGCCCAATTTGGAATGTGAAGAAGAAGTGCAAGACTTATACAATTCTTTTCCTAAACGATAGGGTTTTCCTTCAATTTCTGTGGTGATTTAGTGTGCCTTATTCGAATTGCTGAGTTTTTAGTTATGTTATCTTTAAACGCTTTTACTTTTGTTATTTCTAGGCGTTTTGTTTTGTTTTTGTTATCAGCTCAGTGACAGAAATAAATTAAAGTGTTGAGCTTCTGCAAAAGCTTGGAAACCGTAAAATGGTCACCAACTCGGCTCGGAGGGGTGCACTACTATTAGAGATTACTATTAATTAGCTAAGATTTACATTTCTGATTTTTCTTTTTATCTTTGTTTTCTATCAACTATTTAAACATAAAGCTTTATTGAGATATAATATTAGTTTGAGATATCACAGTTCATTATCACAATTCTATTATGCCGTTTCAATGACCCTTTGATGGATGAACAGTCACGGTGATCGAATTTCTTGTCCTTACCGGCTTTTCTTTCGGTTTTCGGAGGAAAAGTGCGGTGATTATACTGAAATGAGAATATTTCTACACAATAAACATTGTAAGTGTTAACATGAGCGTAATCTACAGTAAATGTGATTTTGTGATACCTCAAAACAAGGTTGAAGAGAAAAGCGTGGCTGAAATCACGAACAGACATCAACATATTGGCAACATCCCAGTTGAAAAATAAATTCGAAACGTTTCCAACGAAATAGAAACCAATAGTGTAAGTGAAAGTAACCAGAGAACTGATGATCATCTAAAGTTCATGATGATCAAGAGAAGTAAAGTCTTCACCAACTTGTGTCATCAACAACATTTCTGCTCGGCTGGCGGGGCCGCTGTGTTTTAGCTAAAAATGCTTTGAATCAAAAATTGCATTGCCAGTTTTCTGGTGCAGTTGGCTTGGTTTTGCCTCAATCGTGCCTGTGCATGATCTTGATTGCTTTCCTATTTCAACCTGGCTTCAGCCTGTCTGGTATTGATTCCAAAGATGTTCTAGACGGGTTCTAAAAGCCACATCCTGGCCTGGCCTTTGCGCTTGCCTAATCTGGCCTTACTGCAGGCCTTGCAAAGATTCCTGAGTTTCCAGGAATCTTTGCTTTTGGAACTTGATGAACTTTTGACGGAGATAAGGCCAAAACCAGACCAAAACCATTTCCCGATTCCCCCAAGTACGTATTAAAGCGAGCTTTTTGATCTCTGCATTTTATGTATTTCCCTACTTTCACTTCATCCGCTTGATTGAGTTTTCGGATTTTTTCTAGGAATTGAATTATCAAAGATCGGCCTCTAAAATGAGTCAAGGAAATGTACTTCAAAAGTTTTTTTTGTCAAAACTTCTAACAATCGAAAATTGAGTCAAATCGGAACAATTACGAGTACTTTCCATACCACCAAGACAAACCTTTTTCATTTTGCGCCTGATAACAAAATCGAGGGCACAAGTGAGAAAATATGGAGCGTAAACGACGAATGGATCGTAGAAGTACATCCAACCACTATAAAGCTGTTCTTGGCAGAATTCACCCAAATATCCGATCGCAAATCGAAGGGCGTACGGTATGAGAACTTGGAGATAAGGCAATCGCATTGAGTATAGGAAATAGGCACCGTCAAAAGCAAGAGCAAAGAAACGACTGAATCGGTGAAATTGTTAACATCAGATGGGTTTCCGTCATTTAAAGGTAATGTAAAAGTTACAGTTTTCTCCGAGTAAAACTCTAAACCACACCGAATTACCGTACTCTTTGCTTCCTTTTCCTGCTCTTAAAAGTTGCAAAACCGTATTGAAGCTGGCTTTGGGGGTGATTACTTTGCGCCAAATTTATGCAAATGATGCCAGTTGGGAAAAAGACTTAGATTAACCTACTTAGAGAAAAGTTATGGCGAGTTGCGGAAAAGACCCAGTTCCGCAAAAAATTTAGCGCAAAGTAGGCTGGCTGGCTGGCTTTGGTTTCCAATTAGATTGGTGCCAAGCTACTTTCTCTTACAATTAGATCGGTGTCAAGTTCGAATACCATTTTTCTTGTAAACTAGATCCAATAACCGTAAATAGATTGGAGTAACCGCATGACCAACCTCAACGAGATGCAAAATTGACAATATTGAGACATATCGCTGACACCATAACGAATA